AAAACAAAATAGCCTTCTGTGAGTTCGAGGCTAGCCTGGTCTACAGAGTAAGTTCTAGGACAGCCAAGGCTACACAGAGAAATCCTGTCTCCAAAAAACAAAACAAAACAAAACACAACACAATTTCCACTACCACCAAACACAAACAAGCACGCACACAAACAAACACTAGCCAGCTGTAGTTGTGCATGCCTGTAACCCCAGAACTTGGGGGCTAAGGCAGAAGCACTGTTTGAGTTAGATCGGCTATGTGGCAAATTTAAAGACAGTCTCAGTTGCAAAATAAGAACCAATGACTAAAAAAGAAAAGAAAACTGAAAAACTGGTTTGTTTGTTTGTTTGTTTGTTTGTAATTGTGTTGAGAGTTGGTGATGCAGCTAGACCTAAATCCACCATTGTCATAGAGCAAATATGCTGAAAACATTACAAACACTTTAGGCTCTGTTGCTGGCTTGTTTGATTTAAGGTCTAATTTCCAGCGCTTCCAGCAAAGTACCTGGATACACGACTAGTATAAAGCTACTATGCATTCGGCAACTCGGGAGAAACACCTCGAGAATGGCTAGGAAGGACTATGGCTTACAAGGGAGTGAATGAGAACATGATCTGTGTTGGCCAGCTGAGCATCCTCGGTGTTCCTGTAACTGCAGCAGAAGCATTGCCTGCCTCCATGCCTCCTCAGCTGCCACCCATCTCCCCTTACACTAGAACTTTCCTTGACAGAAATGCAGAAATGATCATTTTATCTATAAAAACAAGGACTGCTGCTGAGATTTTCAAGGAAAATGCCCACTTAATGTATAATCATAGAAATAGGCTGGCACTGTGAGGGAATCGTGCTTGTCACCAAGCCTGATGACCCAGGTTCAAGCTCCAGGAGGACTCAGAGTAGAATTAGAGAAATCGCTTTCTTCAGGTTGTTCCCAACCTGCATACACATGAGTAGTACACACACACACACACACACACACACACACACACACACACACTCGCGTACCCTGTAATGAGAAAATACAAAGAATAGATAATAATGCTTAAGCGTTTGAGGCTAGAATCTTGGCTCCAAAAATTTTCATTGTCTGACCTTTGGCAAATTGCTTATCCTTCTGAGCCTTCATTTCCTTATCTGTAAGAAAAGATAGCACGTGCTGGGCACACAGAGGTTACTGTGAGGGACGAGCAGATAATGAGTGCCTGGCATAGAACACGTAGTTAATAATGGCCATCAATGGGAACTTTGGTATCATCAGTAAGTGGGTTTTCCTGTTCTCACATCTTTTTGAGTTTAGGGGGAGTTGTACCTAAAGGCAATGGCCTGGCAGTTATGGCCAGGGTAGTATGCAGCTCACTGTTAGATCTCTCGCCATTAATGAGCCTCTAGATTCCACCCCCAGGACCAACACCTTTGGCAACAACAAGAAAAACTGAAAAATAACCATTATCCAGGTTGGTGAAATTAGTCCCAGCTTAACAATTTTCCAAGTTAGGCTTCCAGCGGTCTTTTAGGTAAATGCCTATTGTCTGCCTTTTTTTTTTTTTGAGATAGAATCCTGATGTATCCCTAGACTGCCCTTGAACCCAAGATCCTTTGCCTTAACCTCTGGAGTGCTGAGATTACTGTCATATGCCGTCACGTCTGGTTTAGAGAAATGCTTTTGGGTTGGGGGACTGGGGAGTGAACCTAGGCCTTGTGCGTGCTAAGCCACGATACACTGCTGAGACAGCCTGGAAGTGTTTCCTCTCAGCTACCTGAGTCAGTTAACCCCAAGGCATCAGAGTGATCGTTCTTTACTAGGCCCCTCTGCTGTACTGAGGGCTCAGAGATGCATAGGACTTCTCTCCTCTCCTGTCCTCTGGTCCCCCTCAGCTATACCTATCCCCAACCTCTCAGCAATCCTTCCTCAGCTTCCCAAGAGACCGGGTCACAGGCTAAGTAAGCCGTTACATCTCAGTCTCCCTCCGTTCCGTCCTTCTTCCTTCCAACTGAGTCTGGGCAAACACTCCAAGCATATGGTCTACAGCCAAGCTGTGCCGCTAAGTCAAAATTTTTGCTCAAGGAAACAACTGTGTCAAAATTCCTTTATTTACAAAATCTCCAAGGATCGCCTTCACTACTCCGTCTTCTCCCACATCCGCCAAGAGTCTCCTTAAATGGGCTGTTGCTGAGACCCTCCCTCCTCTTGTGGTTCCCACAATTCACCTATCTTTACCCCAGCTGCCATACAACTAAGCCATACGGTGAATTGTCAGTTCGCTGTTTAATGTGCAGGGATCTCACCGCTCTGAGCAGACCATAAATAACTTCAGAGCAGGAGTCTTCTGTTGGTTCACCTCACATCCCATCATAACTGCCATTTGTTTTGTTAAACAAAAACAAAAAACAACCCCCTCCCCTAGAAAAAACCCCCAAACAAACCTGTTTTAGATTTACTCATTTTTGTGTGTATAAGTTTTTCCTGCCTTCATGATGCCCATGAGGGTCAGAAAGGGGTGTTAAATGTCCTGGAACTGGAGTTATAGATGGTTGTGAGCCACCATGTGGGTGCTGGGAACTGAACTTGGATCCTCTTGGAAGTGCAACAAATGCTCTTAACCACTGAGCCATCTTCCCAGCCCTTCCTGGTCTTTTCAAATCACTTTAATTATCTTTCTTCCACCAGGGTTAATACTGAGCACTGGATTGCATGGAATGGAAAAGACAATCTCTGGTGTTTGCGCTTGGCCTTGAAAACAACTGAGTTGTTATCGCCCACTTGGAAACCCATTTGGAAGAGGACAAGCCACCTTCTCCTCACTTGAGGGACATAGAAAAGATTTTGTCCCATGCCACCCTTATGAACAAAGCTCTTCCTCAGCTTATCTTGAGTAAAAGTAAAATGACTCTAACCCTCTGGAAAAATATCCTGATTTCCCTATAATTACCTAGAGCCTTTAGGTTAGATTTTCATTCTTCTTACTGTAATGTCACCATGAGGAGCTCTTTTTCTCTCTCACTGAGGTGTCACCTGTGGGCAGATCAGTAGTGACATCCACCCTGAAACTGTACTTATTATACCTGAACCTGCTCGTTAGGAAAAAAATACTGAAAAAAAAGACTTAAAAATATTAAAAAAAAAAAAAGACAGCTGGGTGGTGGTGGCACACGCCTTTAGTCCCAGCACTCAGGAGGGAGAGGCAGGCCGATCTCTGAGTTGGAGACTAGTTCCAGGACAGGGTGCAAAGCGACAGAGAAACCCTGCCTCGAAAAAAAAAATGAAAAAACAAATACAAACAAACCCACAAAAAAACACCCCAAACCTTACTATATAGGAAAATATCCTTCATCCATGAAAACCTGTATATACTGGGGGATGGGTGAGCAAAGCAGAGTCTGGAAGAAAAAGGTTTGAGAGTGTATGTGTGCACATCTGTGTATGAATCAGACACTTCCCAAGGGGGGTAAGGGGAATGATAATCCTATCAGTCAAATTGATGAAAGAAGTAAAGGCTCTGGCCTATTTATAGACCTTAAATTGGCATGTGCTATACAGATTGAGTACCAGGTGAATTAGTTTTTTATTTTTTTTTATTTTTCAGGGCTATTCAGATAAAGCAAAGTAAAAGGAAATATAATGAGAAAAAAATAATAAACTATAACAAGAAAAAATGACTATTGTTTTGTGGAATTGTTCCCTCACAACATTGTTTTTTCTAACAGTCAATGCTGAGAGTAATTAGATAACATTCCGTCTTGCAAAGGGCTTGGAGAAAACACAGTCACTGAAGTCTGGGTGGAGAGGTGAAGAGGATTATCTAAATGCTGTACTGATTTTATTTGACTTCAAGGATGTTCTCCAGTGTCACTCTTGCTCTGGTGCCAAAATGTCCCTGAGCCGTTCGTGGAACCGTGCAGTCCAGAGAAACTAGCTCATGGGTGGCAAGACACAGTACACCTTTCCACAGGGACTCCAGAGAGATAACAGAGGCATGAGAGCACCTCTCCCTGGGAAGGAGCCCTCTGCCAAAGACAGCAGACTACAGGCCCCTCTTCCAAGGAAGGCAGTGATGAGCCACTGCCCAGTGCTCACCTCCAGGGCTTCCTTTCAAAGAGAAGTGTACTGTGTAGGCATGGAATTGTCTCTGGAAGCCCTTGCCTTGCACAAGCGCTGTTGGGAAAGCAGACCTATATTGGCACTCCCAGGATAGGATCACTCAGGCTCAGGCTCCTCTATTGAAGAGCGTCCAAGCCAGAACACACATTTCCCTCAATTCCTCCTCTACCCCACACTCTAGTTACTCACAATCCCCTCCAAGAACCTTACAGAGTTGTGAGTGTTAACACACAGGTGCCCCCCACTAGGCAACCAGAGAAGCCTCAAACACCATTCAGAGCAGAACATAGTCAAATCAGGCAGTTCTCCCTTCCATATTTTCCTTGTCTATGAGACAGGAAGAACAGCCCTGTCGAATCTGTTTCACAAGTGCTGCGTTGGATGGACCTTCCTATAAAGAATCAGAGCAGTACTATTACTGGTTTTGCTCTTTTTGTATTACATACCGCAGAGCTTCATAACGTAAGATAACAAAATGCTAAATAGGCTCCAAAAGCGGGTCCACAGCCTGCTGAGGGTGGCTGAGTAAAATAAAAGCTAGTTAAAAATCCATGTTGAGCAGTCTGAATTAGGATCTCCTGGATCAAAGCTGCCTAGTGAAGAGCCGGAAAGAATTTGTTACACTTTTAACAAATTCTCAGGCAATGCTGGGGACACAGGGCCAGCCTGGTTCCTGAACTCTATTTGTTCTATTCTGAGGAAAAGAACAGCTCTGCCGGGCTTGGCTGATGGGATGAGTGGCAGACATCACTTTACCATAGCTCTTAGATTTGACTAGTGCAAGTGGGTGACAACATGGGTCTTAGGCAAAGCAAAGCTGCTTAAGAGGCTATGGAGGGGTTAAGGTCCCACGGAGGACCCCTGGAGAGGGATGGGGTGGCACTGGGGGCGTAAAGGACCTGGACTCACCTACAATGATACCACAGGCGCTGACCAATCCGATCTCTTTCTTCAGGGCTACTCCGCCCCCTCCCGAGCCAGCCTCGGCCTCAGGGCTGGAGTCGGGTCTGCCACCCTGCTGGTTCTTGGCAGTGTTGTTTCGGTGTCGGGCCCCCTTTTCCATCTTTGCCCGTAGGGTTTGGATCTCCAAAAGCTAAAAAGGAGCTGTCTCTTTTTAAACGCGCGCGCGTGTAAATATATAGATACGTGGGAAAACAAGAGTTTCCAATTAAAAACGCCCGTTTCAAAAAGCAGAGAGCGCTCCTGGCCTCTAAGGGTGGCAGCGAATGAGAGGGAGCTGTAAATATTCCCACTCTGTACCGACACGTGTCACTCCTGCTACCAGAAAGGGCAGTGTTTTTTCAAAAGGGAGGCGAAGAGCACATATATATATATTTAAATACAAAAATAGAACTGTACCAGCGACTCCAGCTGGATTTCTCCGGAAAGGGGTTTATCTTCAGAAGCCCAGGATGGCTCGCTCGGCTCGGTGTACCGGGCGAGCGGGCGGGCGGCAGCTCGGGATTCTCTGAAGCCTTGCTCCTAATACACAGATCGTCTTCACCTTCCCTCAGTCTTCCTTTCACGATGAGGGTAAAAGTAGTTCTCGTTGGACGAGGACGGAGGAGGCGCCGTGCTCAGGTACTTTCCTCTGGCTCGTCGGCTGCGGATCGGATTTCCACCTGCCGTGGCTGTCCCTTCTCGCCGCTCTCCCGTCTGAGCTCAAGCCGCAGGCTGCTGCTCCATCGCTCGGCGCCGCGGCTGCGCTCGCTCGCGAATGTGCTTCCCTTTCGGCAGCGGCGTTTATTTGCGGACCGAGGCTCCGCCCCCACCTCCTAGTTCTCCCATCCTCAGCCGCATCCCCCAGCTTCTATTTAAATATTAGTAACCCCACCACCACCACCACCACCACCACACACACACACACACACACACACACACACACACACACACATGCAAAGACCACGGAGCAAAAGGTTTAAAACATTTCTATCTTTCTCCTTCTAGCGGAAGCGAAGGGAAGGGTCGGCCGCAGGGAGAAGTCTCTGGCCAAGGCTGCGTCTCAGGTCGCACAGCGTTTGTGAGCTCTCTGCCCGCACCGTTTTGCAGGCGTTTAGTGCCTTCAGAAATAAACTGGCCCCTGTACTGAAATGTTGAGGTGTGGGTCATTTGAGGACAAGGTCGAGAAGGCTGTAAGGATATCATCATCAAGCTGTTTCCTGAAATTGGGGGCGGGGGCTGGTAGGGGCAGCATGGAAGGACTTAAGGCTGTAGAGTTTCTTTTTAGGGACTGTCGTGAAAGGTAAATAAAACCTTCAAGAAGATGCAGTAGTTGCAACGTTCACCTGAAAGACGATAAGGAGGACTCTGATATGGTCCCATAACTCCTAATATTTAACCCACCTATAGATTACTTGAACTTCAGATGGGAGAATTGCGAGCCTCTCACTGATCATGGAGCAGATTTGCCGATATGAAGAGATGAGTATCCTTTAAATAGGTTGCGCTTCCGCCTCCCTGAAGAATTCAATTCAAAACTGTTGCTTTACCTCAAGAATAGTGTCTACTTCTAACCGTAAAGTACTTTAGGAAAACAACATGAAACAATACTGCATGCATCGCTGAAAAACTAAAAGTTTTTTTAAACATATACTATACAAAATGAATTGATTTTATAAAATAAGTCTAAAAAATAAAATTCCAAAGGGCTTGGTGGTTCACGCACCTTTAATACCTGCACTTGGGATGTAGAGGCAGGAAGATCTGTCTGAGCTCAGGGCCAGCCCAGGCCTGCATATTGAGCAGAGCTACACCGTGAGATTCTGTTTCAATAAGACAACCAAACCAAATTCCCCAATCGACAGAAATTTGGCTTTCTTTTTTGGAAAATGTTCTAAAACATTTGGGATTTTTAGGAAGACTAAAAACCCCCTTTTAAATGGGGTTGGCTAGGCTATCTAGAAGAGCTTTTCCCGACGGGGTAAAGTCCAGTCAACAGTCTCCTTTCCCATCTGCCCCTTGATCACCCAACTCAGCAAGTATCAAGAGGTTTCAAAGGTTAAGATCTCAACCCCTCTCCTTTTGTTGGTTTAAGATATAGCAGATTGAAAGCCTCAGCAAAAAAAGGGGGGGAGTGTGTGAATCATTTTCAACAAAAAGAATAGACAAGGTTTGGAATATATAGCACAAAACTCCACAGGAGTGAGGAATGAGCCAGGGAGAAATGAAGAGAATGTGAATTGCCTCTGGCCTTTCTTGACAAGTTTAGAAAGCATTAAACAATCCAATTTGAAGACTTCTGCTCAGATTTCAACATCAAGGGATAAAATCTTTCTGCCCTTCAAATGTGAGTTCTTTCCATAATGTTTTGTAGTTTCGGTTTAAATGGTGTAGGCTTAGTATGGGGTTAACAACAAGCACGTGATGAGTTTGAGATTGCTCCCGAAGGGAGTACAAATGAACAGCCATGTGTAAGCTTCAGTCCTCTGGATTTATAAACTTGGAAGATAAAGCAAATTATAAGTGCAAACAGATTTTGGGGGTATACAGTGTGGCACCAAAGGAGAAAGGGAGGCTTGCTAAAAAAAACAAAAACAAAAACAAACAACTAATATTTATTTGGCATTTGGAATTTATGAGTGGCTTGCAACTATTTATTGATAGCAAAATATGAAAGTTAGAAAAGGAACCTCCTTCCTTCAAAGGGACCTTAAATATCTCTAGGCTGTTAACATTTTGTGGCATAAATGTTGCATGTGTCAAAATTAGTTCATGCAACTAATATTGATCACAAGAAGGAAGGAAAAGTCTTGGTGTAATTTATTGAGAAAAAATTATGAAAAAATTAATTGAAATTCCTCATATTTTGACCACTTAGTCTATAGCTTTTTTGTTTGTTTGCTTTGTTTTTCAAGACAGGGTTTCTCTGTGTAGCTTTGGAGCCTATCCTGGCACTCGCTCTGGAAACCAGGCTGGCCTCAACTCACAGAGATCCTCCTGCCTCTGCCTCCTGACAAAGTGCTGTGCTGGCTGACAAAGCCAGTTTTGTTTTGTTTGTTTGTGTTTATTTTAGACAGGATCTTGATGATGCTGGCCTAGAACTTGCTATGTAGACCAAGATGGCCCTGATACTCACAGAGATCTGCCTGCAGGGATTGAAGAAGCATGCCACCAAGCCCAATCAAACCCAGTTATTCTTACATATTTTTTTTTAATTTTTGTGCTGCTGAAGATCAAATAGAGAGCCTTGTTAGTCAAGGCTCTTACACTGAGCTAACCCTTTCCCATTTTAAGGATTTTAAAATATTAGTCCAAGGCTCAAAAAAGTGTCTTATTAGAAGTCAAAAAGCAAACACTGGATCTGCTCGTGGGCAAGCAGGTTGTCACTGGTTTACACCAAGCTTTCTCAAGACACTGTAACTACTTGTCAGTGTTTCAATTGCTTTCACTTGGAGAGAAGCAAGACATGATAATGCTCTTCTCATGTTTGGTGGTGGTGGTTTGAGACGGGCTCATTATGTAGCCCAGGCTGACCTCTGGGTCTTCTGGTCTCATCAGGGTCCTGTGTGTTTTTGAGTTAATGTCAAACTGATTTCTTTTTTTTAAAGAGACCCACTTTATTGTCAGCACTTCAAAACCTGTTCAGTGAGAATCACGGGCCTAATCTGGACCCCTGACAAGTACCACTCTCTTTATGCACACCTCTTTTTGAATATTTCTCAAGCACTTACTTTATAAGTCCTATTTCCAGTATCTGAGAGACAGTTCTCACCATTTTGCTTGCTGAAAATAAGGAGAAACTGACCCCTTTAAAATGTGGTTGGAAGTGTCAGCTTCTTACAAACACTTAGAAAGAGAAAGGCTGTGTGTGGCTGACACCTACAGCATGAGAAGGGAAATGACATGGAGACATGCTACTGCAACAGTTAAACAAACACACTCATAGTCTGATTGTTCCTTTGGGAAACAACTGGTAAAAAGTGTTAGCACAAAAGAACAGAGTATAGAACTAAGCCATTCTATTTCTGGTCTTTTTTTTTTTCTGGACCTAACAGCACTTTATTCTTGCTCTTTGTCATGGAACTGTGAAGTCTGAGGTCACTAATGAGGGACCTGACTGCTTCTTTTTAGGCAGATCATGGCCCATGCTGTGCACTCTTCTTATACAGAGCTGTCCAAAGCCAGAAGGAAGCCTTCTTCTAAGTAGAGCTCACAGACTGGGCATGCAAGCTCATGCTTGCAATGCAACACACAGGAGGCTGAAACAGAAAAACCGTTGAGTTCAGGACACTCTGGGTTACAGCGTGAAACTTTCTCACAATAAACAAATAATTATGCAAATAGATAAAACCAAACCTATAACTAGGCATGGTGGAACATGGGTACCTTGGCACTAGAAAAGCTAAGTCAGGGGGATCCAGACAGCCTAGGCTACAATAATGTTTGTCAAGTCTGGGATGCACATCAAAACCCTGTCTCTAAAAATCAAACAAACAAGCAAAAAGCCCCACGGGACTGCAGAGATAATTCAAAAGTTAACAGCACTTACTGCCTTTGCAAAGATCACAGGCTGTTCCCAGCTCACACTTGGCAGCTCACAACCATCTGTAACTCCACTTCCAGTGATACAATGCCCTCTTCTGGCCTCCAGGAGTACTGCATACACAGGCAAAACACTCATACAGATAGAATTAAAAAAAGATATTTTTTAAAGCATATAAGTCTTCCCAGGTGTGGTGTACACTCAGGAAGTACAGTGGGAGGAACAGGATTTTCCAGGCCAGGTATGGGCTACATGGCGAATCCTGTTCCTAAAGACAAGGACTTAATGTGTAATTAATTCAGATATAGAGCATTTGCCTGCCATGCACAAAACCCTGAATTTGATCTCCAGAACCACAAATCAAAACAAAGTAATTACAATTATATGACTCTTTATCTTGGGCAAATATAATAAAAACCAACTGAGGTAGAAGTCTCTATACATAAATCCTCAGGACTAGAGTCACCTAAATCCTTAGAAAGGAGAACATTAGACAGGGCCAGCACGGCAGTCGAGATATGGCCTGCAGCAGGGAGTGTGATTGTGTTTCTTTCCCACCAGAGCTGGGAAATACTTGGAAT